GCTCGAAGGAATCCTTCACGAATAATTCTCAATTATTTACGCGTATAATATATTTCTACTATAATAATTATATTTATTGCAATATAAGAAAGATATGTCGGTCTTCGAAGTTTTGATCATATTTCGAATGAAGTTGAAAATTGACATATAATTCTCCATTATCTATGCGTATAATATATTTATATAATATATTTATTATTTTATAATATATTTTTATAATATATTTATAATATAATAATTATATTTATTGCAAGATAAGAAAAGTACACAACTTCGAATGAAGTTGAAAACTAGAATATCGAGTCATTTATTACACGAAACTGAACAACCATCTTCCTCATCATGCGGATTCAACAATTCGTTTTCGAGGAAAAGAAGCATTTTCGAAGGAATCTTTTATGATTGACGAATGATTCTCGATTATCTATTTTATAATATATTTTTATAATATATTTATTAATATATTATATAATATATAATATAATAATTATATTTATTGCAATATAAGAAAGATATGTCGGTAATTTCGAATGAAGTTGAAAACTAGAATATCGAGTCATTTAAACTATTGAAAGTCATTGAAACTAAGCAACCATCTTCCTCATCATCTGGATCCAACAATTCGAGAAAAAGAAGCGTTTTCGAAGGAATCCTTTACGATTGACGAATGATTCTCGATTATCTACGATTATAATATATTTCTACTACAATAATTATATTTATTGCAAGATTACTCATAACATAATATTACACCTCATAAGATTATATACGTAAAGAACATCTATTTACGAAGCGATATTCCAAAAGAAAGATACGTCGATAGCTTGCAAGTTTTGATCATATATCGAATAAAGTTGAAAACTGGGATAAACTGGAATACCGAACAACCATCTTCCTCATCATCCGGATCCAACGATTCAATTTTCGCGCTTTTAAGTGATAATGCTCGAGTGAGTGAATAATGTGTAATAATAGTGGAGGGGGGAGAGAGAGGAGGAAGAGGAGGAAGGGACTTTGCGAGAAAGATAAAAAAAAGAAAGAATTGTAAAGAAGGGAAAAAATGCCTTACCTGTGAACGACGTTGGCCAACAGATCGTTGTGCCGCAGCCTGTAGTCCACGTCCACCTTCTGATAGTTGACGGTCAAAGTACCTGCACGGATGCAACGCTCGTACTCCTCAGCCGGATGCGCTCGAAACTCTCTCGCGAACACCTCGAGGATCTTCTCCCCCACCCATCTCCCTTTCGTGAACGTGGTGAAGGTGAAGTAATAGGGGTACACTTTCCTCAACCCTGTGAAAACGCAACAGCGCGAACAAACCTTCTAATTAAAATCTCCCGATATGGGGATATTTTTAATAACACGCGATATGTTAATTATCCGATCAATTAAACATCGAGCGTTGATTTAAGCTGGAGGAGAATTCCTTTTTTTTTCTTTTTTAAAGAAAGAATTTTTAATTTCAATCGATCTTCGTTGTTAGATCGAAACGGTTATTTCAAATTATTATTTGATTAAAAAAATTGCTTTTTCAACGCTCCATTTCTGGATTCTGTTAAATTAACCCTTCGCGCTCCAGGCCTGTTTCGCTCGAAACAGCAACTCCAAACTGCAATAGGTGGCCTCATAAAATTAATATAAGATAAAATTACATAAGATTATACGGAAAGAGCATCTATTTATAAGGCGACATTCTAAAAGAATCGAACGTAAATAAATACTGTCGCCGTTCAAGTTGCCGCAACAATCTCAGTGGAGAGTCACAGTTGGAGAGCAAAGGGTTAATCCACACGACGATTCCACCGATCGAATATAAATCGATCGGGTTTAGATATCTAATAACAAATTGCTTAAAATTTTCAAACTCGTCCGCGATATCGTCTCCCCACGCGTAGATCAGAACAAATCAATCAACAGCCGAGTAACAAGTATTTTCAAAGATATCTCGTCTCCTCTGATTAATAGATAGGATTCATTAATTTACGCGGAGGCAACAAACAACATTACCATTCGACACACCTCTTTGCCACGATCAAACGTACGTTCACCTTCCGCGGCTCTGACGAATCACGTGCTTCTCTCCAAGAGAGAGAAAGAGATAGATAGATAGATGAGAGAGAGAAACAGAGAGAGAGAGAGAGAGAGAGAGAGAGAGAGAGAGAGAGAGAGAGAGAGAGAGAGAGAGAGAGAGAGAGAGAAAGAGAATTTCTAAACGTCCAATATACGATTCTTTAGACATTCGTCTACTTCATATCTTTAATAAATCATTTGGAAAATAATAATAATAGAAGCTGTACTACCCTCGATATTTGTATATTCTAAAAATTAGCGACACCAGAGAAAGAGAAAAAATTTCTAAACTAGGTTGAACCGTGATCGAATTCCGAATTTTCAAAAGTTCTATATACGATTCTTTAAACATTCGTCTACTTTATATTTAATAAATAATTTGAAAAATAATAATAATGCAAGCTGTACTATACTCGAATTTTAATAAATCATTTGGAAAATAATAATAATAATAATAACTAGCTGTACCACACTCGATATTTGTATATTCGATATTTTTAAAACCAGAGGAAGAGAGAGAAAAAATTTCTAAACTAGGTTGATCGAAATTTTCGAAAGTTCCATATATGATTCTTTAGATTCTCATTCCTCTACTTTATATCTAATAAACGATTTGGAAAATAATAATAATACAGGCTATACTATACTCGACATATTCGATAATTCTAAAACCAAAGATACCAGAGAAAGAGAGAGAGAAAAAATTTCTAAACGTCCCATATACGATTCTTTAGACATTCGTCTACTTCATATCTTTAATAAATCATTTGAAAAATAATAATAATACAGGCTGTATTATACTGGACATATTCGATAATTTTAAAACCAAACGACACCAGAGAAAAAGAGAGAAAAAATTTCTAAACTAATTTCCATATACGATTCTTTAGATTCTTATTCGTCTACTTCTTATCTAATAAATCATTTGGAAAATAATAATAATAATAATAGTTATACTACACTCGATATTTGTATATTCGATAATTCTAAAATCAAGTCTAGACACTAGAGAGAGAGAAAGAGAAAAAATGTTCCATATACGATATGATAATAATACAAGCTGTACTACACTCGATATTTCTAAATACAAGTTGTACTATATTCGATAATTCTAAAAATTAATGACAGAGAGAGAGAAAAAATTTCTAAACTTGAACCATGATCGAGTTTTCGAAAATTCCATATACGATTCTTTAGATCATTCGTCTACTTCATATCTAATAAATCATTTGGAAAATAATAATAATAATACAAGCTGTACTATACTCGATATTCGATATATTGGATAATTCTAAAATCAAGTCTACATACCAGAGAGAAAGAAAAAGAGAGAGAGAAAAAGAGGGAGGCACTCGTCGAAATACTCGGAAATGAAGCGTGTCATGCAAATGCAAACAGCTTCCTCGTAAGAAATAAACCGAGGCCCGGTCCCTTTGGCGAGGGCAACCGTGCGTGTAATTCTCCCTCTCGAACTCGATCAAACCGTGCTCGATACAAGCCAGACGCGGGATACGAAGGAAATGGGATCGAGATTCGATGGAACGCACGGAGGGAGAATTTTCCTCGTGGCACGTGCGACAACAGGTGCAAGATGTACAAGAGGAGGGAGGGAGGGGGAGGATGCAAGACACGTTTACGGATTTACATGTGGCCATAAGGTTTTCGCGTTTTCACGATACTTGAATTCGATATTCACGTTGAATGGTTTTATTATTATATATATATATATTTATTATTATATATTATTTTATATTATATATTTTTTTATATTATTATATATATATATTATTATTATATATTGGATATTATATTGGAATAGAAAATTACAAGATTATGCTATTACGATATCTCTTTTATTAATCTAAATGGATAAAATCAACCTGATCCAATTTTTTGTATCCAATAATTCTTCCATGTATTAATGAACGGTATTAAAGAAATTGGAAATTTAGTTGAAAAGCTAGTAAAAAATGAAATCAGAAATTATATATAAATTTTCGAATCAAACTTAACAGTTTGCGTTTGATTTGGCCGGCCATCAATACAGCAATGAACCTCGATCGAAAAACCTGATCCAATAATTTTTCAAAATAAACGGAGTTGCAAATATTGAGGTATCTCGGTGTAATATTTGCGTAAGCTAAAATAGGAACGCGACCCTTTATCGCGTTCCAACTTGGTTATAAGAACCTTTAAATAGTGTCACGATTGTTTCGTAATTAATTAAAAATTGGCACGGTGGGCCGAGCGAAAATAAAGCCGCCCGTGGATCGCGCCAATCGCGTAAATTCAACAACAAATTCCCTCCTTCCCCGCTAGGGAAACGCGCCTCGAGATTTCGAAATTTTTTTTTAAGGATCGTTCGAAAATATGAGAAATTTGTATTCGAGGAGCTGAAAATTTATAATTCGCAGATATATATTGGATATTATTGCATATAGATATATATTGCATATATTATACCAATTTTAAATTCTACAAAGATTACAAAGAAAGCTATACTTTTTGACATTCGAAAATTTGTAGATTAGGTTTCAAAGAAAGATTTCTTTCCAATTGGAAGATGGATCTATTAAGAAGAAAGAAAGGAAAAAGGATCCAATCCTCTTGGCCGCGCTTCAAAAGGATCCTGGATCCTCCAACTCGATTATTTCGATCGATAATTCTTTGGAATTATTTTCTATATATTTATCTACGCGTTATTTTTCTTTTTTTATTTTGTTATCGAGTTTTTATTTGTTTGAGAAGATAAACGCTTGGTGTTTCCACGAATTAGTTTTTGGGTGGAATTATAATTATTCGTTCGTTCATAATATAATGATATAATATTCGGCACGTCGTTGTTCGTACGCGATAATTTCGGCGAAATTCGACGCAAGCGACCCCTCCCCTCCCCTCGATTATTGCATTATCGTTGTTTATCGTTGTTTTAATCGTCGAATATGAATAATTCCCTCTCGGAAAGTTATAATAAGTTTGAAACGATTATCCATAATGCTATGATCATATACGAATTAATTATTCTCCCTTATCGAATTTAATATTATCTTCGTACGTATGAAATTTCAAATAATTTCTTTCTTTTTAATTTTAATCGAGTCTCCTCTTCGAAAAGCGAATAAACTAAATGATAAACAATAATATATATATATATATAACAAAGTTTTAAAAATAAAAAATTACTGGATCTCATTTCTCCTCAACGATCATTCTTCTACTAAATTTCACGTTGTAATTTGTAATTTCACGACAAATTGTTCGTCGAATGTAATCGGAAAAACGAATCTTCTTCTTTCCATTCTCATAAAAAGGAAAGAAAAGAAGGATATCATCAAGAAGTTTGGCTTCATTTGAAAATATAATAACGCCCTCTGTCCGGTAACTCGCGATTTTCGGCGCGAAACCAACATGGCGGCCGGTTGATCAACATTCCCTTACTAAATCAAGTCAAAGGATTCATTTTCCTTTTTTTTTTCTTTATTAGATGGATCATTTTTGATCATATTGAAATTTGGAGGAGATTAAATTTGTATTCGAGGAGCTGAAAATTTGTAATTCGCAGATATATTGCATATATTATACCAATTTTAAATTCTACACGATTAGAAAGAAAGCTATACTTTTTGACATCCGAAAATTTGTAGATTAGGTTTCAAAGAAAGACTTCTTTAAGTTCTT